TTTTTTCAGTGGCCCTAATCCTCCTCCATATTCATGTATTAGATGCTTTGCAAAGGTATTCACTACGGAGGCCGAGGGCTTCAAACGTCACATAAATACACGATTTTGTAGCATTTTGCAGGAGTAAAGTGAGAAACCTCTTATTTATTTTTTTACAGTTGTTGTATGGTTATGTCTGTTTGGGAGAATATTTATGATTGATTATCGACGAAAAAAAATTTAGAATTTTAATTGGCATTACTTTTTAAGACGAAAATGTGGAAATTTTATGTAATATTTTTTTTAATTATTCACAAATGCAAATTCTTTCAAGTTTCTTAAAATCTCCAAACATTCCAAAATGATACGTTTTCATACCTCGATTAAGTTACAAAAAAAATAACAAATTCTTAAACTTTTCAGATTTAATATCAGTCTACTTAAGTTAAAACCCTATGTTGCCTGTTTTATTTTCCTGTTATTTTATTCTTCTGTTCTTTTTTCTTTTGAGTCTTTTAATTTTACTCTCTGTTTAATTTTACATTGGATTTTGTTTCTATTGGGTTTTTTTTGTTTGTTTTATAAAAACACACATATGTTCAGTTTTACTTTTTGTTGTTTTGGAGTTGTATTTTGGATTTGAATTTTAGTAAAAATATTAGAAAAAAAAGTGACAAAGCTCTTCAATTGTTTAGCGTTTTGTCACTCTCCTCCTGCAAACTCCAGTGTCTGTTAGAGGGAATAATGTGATCGACACAAAGTAGAGTATAAAAAAAACAATGAGACCATATGTGGAAGGCCGTTAACAATGAATAAACAATGAATAAAATCAACTTTGAGTGCAGAAATCACCAGGTTTGTAAATAGAGAGCAGATAAACAACCAGCATCATGAGGTTCAGGGAGGAAACTGTTGTGTATCTGAAATAAAACTTTAATATTAAACTACAGTACATGTTGTTATACATTTTTATCCATCCTCACTACTAATATCTAAATTTACCGTAATCAGAGACACACTCATTCAAACTGTCTGTTATTATTTTACTGCAGCAGTTTTAGAGAAAAAAGACTAGATTTAAAAACTATATTTACATTATCTGTTCATCCTGCTTTGTAATCCAGGGC